ATATATATTATTTTTTTTATTAATAACGTTAATGTTGTTATAAAAATTCAAAAGAATTACATCGATGAGACAAACTTTTACTGATATTAGCTTACAATTAGTTCTCAATTAAACTTTAATTCTTCCACTGCTACTGCCATATAAATTTTGATAAAAGTACAATTAAATATTTTCATTGCGATTTTCTCATGCGTCTCAAGTCGAACAGCAGAATTGGATCAATGGGTCAGTGTACAACCTGTTTGAGCCTCGACCTCTGACCCCGCGAACGAAACGAGGAGAGATGGGAGACTTTTCCCATGGAAAATCATATGCGGTCGGACACCACACCGGTTCCGCCGCGCGGTCGCTTCCGGATTCCGGTGTGCACGTGTGCGGTAACGGTGCAAAAATCGCGGCTGGCATTAATCTAGCCGAAAGCTATATCACCATAGCTACACCTCACTCATATTCTAATCAGGATCAAAAGGTTATGTGAACTGCCGGACACATTTCGTAGTTCGCGAGAAAGAAGGAGAAAGGGAAAGATAGTTGGAAAAGAGAGAGAAAGAAAGAGAGGGTGGAGGGAGGGAGGGAGAGAGAAAGAGAGAAAGAGAGAGAGAGAGAGAGGGAGAGAGGAAGGGAGAGAGAGAAGGAAGATTGTAGAGCAGCGTATATACGGCACACACAAGTATTTCCTTACGTTTCCTACGTGCCAGGTGTCGTTTACCGGTCAAGCCCATCTAATTTCCCATGACCGGTTCCTCACCGCGCGAATCGCGAGAAGAATAGATTCGCGAATCATTCTCGCGCCGAACGGTCGCTCGACGTAGTGCTCGTTAAGCGGATCCATTGAGGTGCCTTCGGTGTCAGCTCTTATGATTGTGCCCATTTAAATTTTAATCGAAGGAGAACGCCTGTCAGAATCGAACTACCACTTCGTTTACCACCCTCAGTACTCGTCGTCTCGTCAATCATATATAATATAACTATATTATTAATTATTATAGTATAGTAAGACATCACTTAATTGCTATTAAAATCATAAGTAATCAAGATTTTTATAATTATGAGCTGTCTTAATTCTAATCAATTTCGCGAGACTCGTATCTATGAATAAAAATATACTTCCTTGAATTTAAACGTTCCGCATCTAAACAAAGTTCTTCGAGACTAGATTTTCTCGTGCGATATAACGGCGTGGGTCAAGTGGTGAACTCGTTTCGCATAGATTCTATTAGATGCTACGCTCAATACAATGAGAGTATGCATACGTCGTGGCTGGACGAGGAGCCGGCTTGAGAATGCGAATGAATTAAAAGTATAGGAATATGAAACGAAATAAGGAGAATGCGCGAGCCAGCAGAAAAATGGCGTGCTCGCGTGTCTCTCTCTCCTTTACAGTCATTCGTTCGACAGTGGGAGAGAACGGGATAAAGAGCAGTAGATGGACGAGAGGAAAGGAGTGGCTATCTAAATGGCTACTTAGTATGTCTCGTGTCAGGTCTCTCCCCTCGCGAACTCTGCTCCGTCAGTAATAATATTCGTAAGTGTACCTATATAGACGAGTGTGCTCGACCGCGTAGCTAACAGGTTTCATGCGAAAGCCAATTCGGTGGCGAGAGAATGAGAGAGGTACAAAGTTCGGGGTATGTCCTGACGAGGTTTTAATTCGATTCTTATGCCGCGTTAAATACGCCGCGCATTTTACGCCCGATTTCACGTGCCGTAAAGATGGGACGAGATTGCACCAGCGCGAGCGGGGTTAACTCTGCCATTACGTTTACTAAAGTGGGGCTTGAGAAGCGCCTCAAGTACAACAAAACACGACGGCACTGATCACAATGCACAGATATAGGAATAAATATAAATATATATGTATAACACACAACGCGGTAACAATGATACTAAGACAGACGCTAAAATGAAGCAGAAAATTTCAATACTGTACGAGAGAAACAAGATAATGTGGTAATGTACTTGAATTGTGTAATTAGTAAATGTGTAATTAAAAACTTTACGTTCATATCATCGATATTGAAGTGCGATGTTAAGAATGATACAAAGTTAAATATAAACAGTTCTCTTTTAAATTGAATTTATTATATTATATAGAGAATATTGGAGATTTTGTATAATATAAAACAGATCAAATAAAAAGTATAATAAAATGTATAATAATTAATAAGATTTTTTTTTTAATAAAGATGTAAAGCTTCTTAACGATTTTTTATTTTTCAAATAAAGTTATTATTATAATAACTAATATTAACTTATTGTTCGACTTAAATACTTAGTAGCAGTTACAGAACACTAATATTAAATATTATACGTACTATGTATGTATATGTAACATAGTCTATCTAATTCTAAAATTTTATGATTCTTAGGTGCAATAAATGTCTTTCATCTACCTCATCCATTAATATGCTGCACAAAAATCTATAATATAAAAAATTATTCCTTCATCTGTGTATATGTAGGCATTTAAGCAAATTAAATTGAATATGAGTTTTCTTGGATGAAAATAAAGAATGATTATGAAAGCGTCTCTCTGAACTGGTTCATAAATGCTCACGAACTTCCGGGAAAGCTCCGACTCTTCGTTTTGACGATGGGACACCCGTTATACGCTTAAAATATACCGGCATCTCGTATGGGGCGCGCTGCGAAGAAATGCAGAAACAGCAGTTGCTATGCTAGATGGTACTACTCCCTCCAAAACGTGTACACCCTCTTTCTCTTTCTCTCTCTCTCTCTCTTTCTCTCTCTCTCTCTCTCTCTCTCTCTCTCTCTCTCTTTCTCTCTCTCTCTCTCTTTTTTCTTCTCTCTTTCCTCAACGCATGTGTTGTGTTAGAGTAGACGAAAGAGAGCGAGAGAAAAGGAAAAGAAAGTGAGGAAAAGAGAGATGAAGAGAGCACTGAAGAGAAAAAGAGAGAAAGACGGAGTAAAAGAGTAAGAGAGGAACTAAAAGAAGAAATACTACACAGAAGGGGCGAATTACACGTGGTAGTTCACGACGTGAAGAGGGCAGACGGGTATTCGGAGAAGGGCCATGAGGGGATGAAGCGAGGGACGGAGGACTGTACGAGAAGAGAGAGAAGAGAGAGAGAGAGAGGAAGAGAAAAGGAGAGGAGCTAAAAAGAGGGAGTGAAAACGAGATCGTGAAGGTAGCGAGCAGGGGATCATGGAGTACGAGACGACGAGTGAAAGAAGGAACGAGGAAGGGCCAAGAAGATGGGAGCGAGATGGAGCGCGGGGCTCTCGTTTCAGAGGAGCTTCTAAATTCTCGTGGTCCGAGTCTGGAAGCGGGTTTCGTAGTCGAGCCGAGCCGGTGTATGTATATGCGGTGAACGAAGTGAGAGCGCGGGCAGGAGAGTAGTAGGTTAGCAGGCGCTCTCTCCCAAGGGAGAGGGTGCTAGGCAGTGATCCTGACGTATGAGCAAGATGGCAAGTGCCTTTATAGTGGGTCAGCACTAGACTTGGGCACCCGGCCAGCAGCCTTCAAGGTCTCCTTAGTACACGCTGTGACTGTCTCTCCCTTCTACCCTGTCCCTCTCTCATCCCTCGCTCTTTTACCCCGCACTGCCTGCCCTGCCCTTCTTTTCCCTACAACGCGGCATAGCAGAGTCGCCAGGTAGGTGAGTCCATTTCTTCTTCTTCTTCTTCTTCTTCTTCTTCTTCTTCTTCTTCTTCTTCTTCGTCTTCTTCTTTGCCAGTTAGGGTTAGGCTAGAGCAAGCTAGCAGCAAATTTCGGCGCGTTATCCGGACGTAGTAGAATTACCGTGTAACCTCTACTTAATATATATTCATTCATTTTTTTCTCTCTTTCTTTTTTTTAACCCTCTTTATCGCCCCCGTATTTTGAATGAGCAAACCTTCTCAAGTATTTTTCGAGAACGAAACTCGCGCGAGATTTCAAGTTTTTTATACGGTAAAGTCTAAGAAAGCCTACAAAGATATATTTTGGATATTGAATGAAATACGAATTGAAAATTTTGTAACTTATTAGCTTTCGCAGAATTTATAATTAGAAAGAAATATATGTAAAATATAAATACATAATATCAAAATCTGTACATACATATATATCTTTGAATTTAAATATCGAATTAATTATTCGATATATGTGTAACATTCAATTTTTACGATTTGCGAATAAATCTATTTGTTAAATAATAATCTATTAATTATACAAAGCCACATCTTAAAATTAATCGCTAAAAGATAATGTTATGGCTGCAGGGCCAAATGTAAACGTAAGTGTAGAGTGACAAACAGGATCAAACGTATCTACGATATTAAATATCAGCTATTATGCACCGTTCTTTAGTCTCACTATGTCGATTATTCGTATAAGACACGATTCTAAGAGATGAAGGTAGATCCCGAAAGTACATCCGGAATATAGCGTCAGCGGTTTCCTATCTCGCTGATAATGACGAGAAGGTTATCCGGTAGTCATTCATTTCGACGAGTCTAACTCCACTTTTGATTGGTTCAAATTCAAAAATTACTTTTACTTTAAAAAAAAAATGATATTTAATTTTTTTTCGAAAAATATATTTTTAGT